TAGTATTTCTTTGTTTTGGTTTTCATTTTTCTGATTATCAGCATCCTCCTTACTATTATTGTCTTCATCTACTAGAAAATCATATACCTATCCTTTGATCAATGAGAATTATTTTCAATCGTTAATAGACTTTCACCATCTTTTCAGCTTCAATTAATCTATCTTTTAAATAGCTTTAATTATGAGTAAAGGAAGAATACTCACCTTTAAAAAAAAAGTAAATTGTGAGGACTTATCTGCAAATCATTTTTAAGCATCCTACATTCAGAATATAACACTTCTGTGTGAGCCTAACAACAGACAACTTTCTCTACGTGCCTCTTTGATTTAACATCCAGGAAATTTTCTAATAAAGCTAAATTAAAAATTATACCATAAATATTATACTGAAATTAAAAGTTCTACAAAGAAATGGCATGATGGATTGACCATTCATGAAATTTCTTTAGTAAAAACATTCTTAAATATCTTGGCCCGTAGGCTGAATCAATGACTGTTAGGTGAGAAGATGATGAAGATACTACACAAACTCCGATTCCAAAGAGTAAGTCTATAATTAGCTACCATTAAAATAGCTCTGCTCTCTTCAGGTAAACCTAGAAATCGGAAATGATTTACTACTGAGGAAAGGAGGCAGAACCACACAGGAAAAATGTCACCCATCCACCATCTGCTTATCTTCTGTAATCCAATAAAGGTGACACATGTGAATGATTCAACTTTCCTAATTACTAAAGGTTTTATCTTATGAATGACTGCAACCCCAGGACTTTATATAATGAGCTAGTATGCGCTTCTTCTGCTTATACCCTGTGACTTTAGAGTAAATTTTGCGAAGTAGTCAGAAAAGGTGACTTGTAACAGTATCTGGAAAATATTTAGGGGGTAGACTATTTTGAAATGAGGGTTTTGCAAAAGTACATTATTAAATGGCTATTTAAATAGTCTATTGACTTATTGGTCAGCTCGGTCTAGCTTGTTCTGTCCTTTGTGAAATGATGGTGGAGGACAGAGGAGGAAGAACTAGACTTTTCAAAGTTAAGTTTAAATAACTGCAAAGGATATAATTTCCAGTGTACTGTAAATATTAACATTTAACTTTTTTTGTTACTGGAATGTTCCTTATAAAGCATCTGTTCTTGTTTCACGGATAGAAAACCTCCTATTATCTCTGAAGAAATTGATACTTTTTTGGAGGGAGGGGTCTCTCCTCTCCTTGCATTGTGTTTGTTTATTCCTAGTTGCCGCCCCCCTCTCATCTATTTGTTTTGGGCTCTGTCATTGACATCAGAGACTTTCCCTTCAATGTCTGGTGATCCAGAGATAATCTGTCTTAGTCAGACTAAGGGACTAAAAAGCTATCTGAAAGCTTTGAGCATATAGATGGGCTTCTCGTTTTTGAACTTCCCTGTACAGTGATCTAGGTGGAATCCCTGATGTCACTACCTTTGGGTCTTTCCTTTTGCTTGGTAAGATTCCTCAGAGAAGACTGCCCGAAGGGGAAGGTTTCCGTGCTAGCCTTCTGAAAGCCAAATGCAAAGAGAGCGCTGGGGAACTCTCCATTCATCACTCAGAAAGCAGTCACTCAATACCCATTTCTGGTACAGTATCCATGTCCGTGTCCCCAGCCCAGAGATATTTCTATTTCCCTCTCCAGAGAATAAACTTTCAGTCAACTGCCAGGGTAGGAATGGGGCAGTCACAAGTGGCATAGAGCAGGAGATGGGATTCAGAGCAGCTCTTCAGACAGGCCTTTTCATTTACATAATACCCTCCCTCCTCCGGAGATACCTGGCACTGCCAATGCCTGAGACTTTTGAGGATTCTGTGGTATAAATCAGGTTGGTTTTCATTTCCCCATTGCCAACTAATAATGATTTAGCTTTTCTGGGTGTACTAAGTCCACTATCACTTCTCCATCTACCTTCTAGCTTTTAAAATGTTGTTGCTATTGTTTCTTTCCTCTATGTTATGTCCATCTTTTCTATGTTCGTGCTTCAAAAAATTTCTTTATCATAATTTTAGTGGAGTTTCAAGAGACAGCAAAAATCAGTCACCTTAACCTAAAATCCACATAGCTATTTCAATAAGAGGATTTTCAATCTGCCAAAGCCTTCAGAAACTAAAAATGTATTGGTACATTTAACCAGTTGCATGTTATCATCTTATAAGGAACAGAAAGGAAAAAAGAGAACTGTATCTTCTTTGGTTAATTTTAAGCTGGTAATAAAATATTCTCTGATAGAAGGCTTCAAACTTGTAACTAATACTGTTTCAGCTGTTAAAATCTAGGATGAACCAATGGGATGATCTACATTCACAGCCAGGCATTCATTATGTAGTGAGAGTTACTTAAAAATGTAAGCAAAGTATTTTGGAGTAGAGAAATAGACTGTAAAGGTTTACACTTACAGATCCAAAACTGTAAAGCAATGCGAAAATACTGCCTCTTGACTGACTGTCTCCCAGACTACAGAACTATTCCAACTTGATAGTTTTCTTCTGTACTGTCACTTCTCGTCTTAATCAACACTGGCACTTCACTACCCCATCACTGTTTCTAAAAGCAATTTTTATACTATTTTTAACTATTCCTTGCTGCCTTTTTACAGCAAAAGCCTCTTCCCTTTTATGATTTATTTGATTATTTTTCCTTTCCTTGACAGTTCTTGGTTTTGATATGAGAAGGATTTGGCTTCTCTCTTTTCTGGAAGGTAAACCTATCAATACTATGCAGTTGTGTGTAACTATTCTTTAATTTTTCATTTAACAGATATGTATGGAATACCTATCATAGGCCAGGCCCTCTTCTAGACATGAGGGATAAAACAACGAACAAAGCCTCTGCTCTCATATAGCTTGTATTCTAGTGGATGTGACAAAATGTCACATGGAGTTTGGTGTTAAAAAAATAAAAAAAACAAGGGTGGGGTATAGAGAGTGATAGGGTGGGGTAGGAACATGTTCTTTATACAAAGTGATCAGAGAAGGCTTCTTTTAAAAGGCAACTTTTAAAAAAACAATTATTTTATTGAGGTCATATTGGCTTATAAGATTGTATAATTTTAGGTGTACATTATTATATATCAGCTTCTGTGTAGACTGCATTGTGCCCACCACTAATAGTCTAGTTTTTATCCGTCACCATATATATGTGCCCTTTCACCCCTTTCCTCTCCCCCTACCGGGACCTCCTTCCCCTCTGGTAACCACTAATCTGTTCTTTTTACCCACGTTATTTGTTTATCTTCCACGAGTGAAATCATATGGTATCTGGCTTATTTTGTAAAAGGTGACATTTGAACAGAGACATAAGCAAGAAGCTCTATGGATATTTGCAGCACGAGTATCCTAATGGGAAAATAACAAGTACAAAGTCCCCAAGGACGGAACATGCTTGGCCTGCTGAAGAAACAGCAGAGACCAGTGGGGTGGGAGCAGAATAAGCTTTGTTTCCCTCAATGTTTACTATTTTTGCCATGGTTTACTTTTCACAAGATTTTAATATAACCTTTCAGAGCTGAACAGTTTTAGATTCTAACTCATATGAAAGGTTGTTTCATGTCTAGTGGATAAGTGGGAATGTTACTGAATAAGGTAATAACTAGCTGCAATAAGCATTTTGGCTGAACACAGGCTTGTAAACAATCTAAAGTATAGATATATTTCTTAGTTTCGACACAGATGGTGGGAAGACTTAAGAGCCAGATCTGGTTTTGAGTCTTGGTTCTATGCCTACTTGCTATAAGTGATTTTGAGTCAGAGTTCTAGGTTTCTAGGTTTTGATACATATATACCCTTTTATTCAATTTTATAATGTAAAAGTAGCATAGTGATTATGGGGAAAGAATAATGGATGGGAGTCAGAAATTGAGTTAAACATGTATGCTGACACTTATTAAATGTGGGGCCTTAGACAAGTCATTTAAAAGCCTCAGTTTCCTTATCTGTAAAAAGAAAATGAAAATATCTACTCCAGGGGCTGGCCCCATGGCCGAGTGGTTAAGTTCGTGTGCTCCGCTGCAGGCGGCCCAGTGTTTTGTTGGTTCGAATCCTGGGCTCTGACATGGCACTGCTCATGAAACCACACTGAGGCAACGTCCCACATACCACAACTAGAAGGACCCACAACGAAGAATATACAACTATGTACCGGAGGGGCTTTGGGGAGAAAAAGGAAAAAATAAAATCTTTAAACAAAACAAAACAAAACAAAAAACTACTCCATAACATTATAAAGATTAAATGACATAATGACGTACACATGTGAAAGTCATCTGTGTACTGTAAAATGTTAAATTAAGATACATATTTTTTAACTACCCATAGAGCTTTCAAACTTATATTTTACTTACTTAAAATTTTTCATCTAAAGGCTTTCGAAATTAATTAATTTTACCTTTTGATTTACCTATTCATTTGCAACTTAAGAGTTGCATGCAAAATTTACCCTTCCTAGTCAGTTCCCTATTTTGGCATATAACAAACTTTATAAAGTAACTTTTTATCTGTTAAATTAAATAGCAAAATTCAACGGATACGAACAACTCAATCTGAAATGCTCAAGTAGGATCAGAATGCAGATTTTCATTTTACTTTATTTCATGCAGATGATCATTTTGCAATAGAATATATGGGCACATGGAGAAAATAATTTGAAAGGATAACTAGCAATCATTTTATATACTTCAATAATTGTTAGTGAATTTTTAGTGGTGGGTTTTTTTGGCCTATTTTTGTTTTCTGAACTAAATCGTTGCATGCTAATAAACAAATTTGCAGTCACATTTATTATCAAATACTTGACATATGTTTGAAGACTGTACTAGACAGGGACTATTTTAGATCTTAATTCATACTGCTAGTCATTAGTCACAACTGTCCATGTTGCTGGACAGCAATTTAAAAAGTAATCCAAAAGAATATTAGCTAAAACTTTTAAAACACACTCAGTGGCCTTCAAAAGTAACTTTAAAGAGATTTAACAGAACAGAACTTACTCCATGCCCTGTGCAGTTTGCCGAGCAATATCTATAAGTTTGATCATCTCAAATTTGGTCTCAATGATGTGGAGATGGTGATATAAGCTGGAGCCCTCACACCACTGGGTAACAATAGCCAGTTGTGGCTTTGTTGAATAGCCCATGAAGAGTAGGATATTCACATGTCGAGTTTTCCTGTAAAAAGAAATGTGACGGTAAATAGGAAATATTGATAAACTTTTGCAAATCTTAAAAAAGAGGACCAAAGCAGTCTACTTATCAGTAAAATATTGTCAGAAAAAGGTGTTTTTAAAAAAGGCTACAGAAGGATAACTTTAGAAGAGACTTTAGAAAATGTCTAATCTAATATCCTACCCTTTTCAGAAATATCTTTTAAAATATACCTCACAGATAGGCAACTAGAGGTTGCTTAAATACCTCCAATTATGAGAAGTTTATCACTGAGACTGTAGCCTATTCCACCACTTTTATTTTTTTTTGTTAACTGGTTCTAGTATTAGAGAGGTTTTTTTGGGTTGAGAAAAAAATCAATATCCTACATCTTCCACCCCGGCTTACTTCCCCTTCTGCTCTCCGTAATAACAGAGTAAGTTTTTAACAGCCTACTATGGACCTAAATATCCTCAGTTCTGTTGACTACTTCCCCGCTAAGTTCTAGTTCTAGAATCCTCTGCATCTAAGTTGTACTTGCCTGGACACGCTCTAGTTTATTAATGTTCATCAAGTCTCAGAGCTTGATATAATCTCTAAATGTGTTCTGATAAGATTAGAATTTTGAGAGTATTATTTTCATAAGTGGAAGTATTATTTCTCATCATCAGAATACTATATTTCCATTAATTCACTCTAGGATTAATTCTTCTAACACCTATACCACATAATATTGCATACCACTTAAAAGAATATGATTTAAAGACAATATATTCAGACAAATTCTTTTATCAATTTTGAGTAAACCTGTAAAGCTAACAGTGGGTACCACTGGAAAATAGGAGTTGATGAAGATAACTTCTCCAGAAAACAGTAATTCACACAAGCTCACCTGAGTACTCCTACTTCATTTTTGAAGGCCTGTAACTGCTGAGGTGTGGGTGCTGTCACATTCAACATTTTCACTGCCACATCACCTAAAAGGTAATCGTCATTCCAAATGTCATTCCTATTTTTTAAACTTAAAAATATAAAAAACTCGTGGGTATTTTCACCAATTACCACAGCTTTAAATCCATTAGTAAATTGTAAATAAATTACATCGTAACTTCCTGAACTGCATTAATTTTCCAAGGATAAAAACTAAACTAACAATGATACTCCTGTATTAGTATTTCAACATTCTAATCTAAAAAGATAACCAGGGGCAGGCCCTGTGGCCAAGTGGTTAAATTTGCATGTTCTGCTTTGGCGGCCCGGGGTTTTTACTGGTTCAGATGCCAGGCGCAGACATGGCATCACTCATCAGGCCATGCTGAGGCAGCGTCCCACATAGCACAACCACAGGCACTCGCAACTAGAATATACAACTATGTACTGGGGGGCCTTGGGAAGAAGAAAAAAGAAAGAAGACTGGCAACAGTCGTTAGCTCAGGTGCCAATCTAGAAAGAAAAAAAAAACAACTTTGCTTTTCCCCTGAAAATGTAGTTGAAGAAATTAAGTGCCCATGGTATGTTTTCCTGGTTACTCAACAATGTTAAATTAGATGCATTTAGTAATTGAATGCTAAAACTACAGATGACAGGTCCAATGAACCTTGGCTGAAACAGAAAACTGCAATACTTATTTATCAGAGTAGTTAACATTTATTTTCAAATCCATGGATCACTTGTTGCTTTTGCTCGGGAAAATTATTAAATTACAAAAAGAACTTCATGTAATACAGGTAGAACTCTCACACATTGCCAGTGGGTGTGTAAATTGGTACAACCACTTGAAACACTGTTGGCCATACGTATCTACTAAAACTGAACATACGCATATCCAGTGGCTCCACAATTCTTGCTCACGTGTATATGCCCAGAAAAAATGAACATATATGTTCATCAAACGATACGTACTAAGAATATTCACAGCAGCAGCATTTGTAATAGCCCCAAAATGGAAACTATTCCAAATGCTCATCACATAGTAGATAGAAAAATAAATAATGTCACAATCACACAACAAATACTATATAGAGAATGAATGATCTACAACTACACACATAATATAGATGAATCTTAGAAACAATGTTGAGTGAAAGAGGTCAGACACAAAAGAGTATATATTGCATGATTTCTGTTAAAGTCAGGATAGTGGTTACCCTCAGCAGAGGTGAGTAACGGTCTGTTTATTGAACACAGATGTGTTCACATTGTGATATTTCAGCTACTTGTACACTTATATACATTTTTTGCATGTAGATTATACTTTAATATAATTCACATTGATTTTCCTGATTATCAAAGTAATAGAGTGCTCATAGTAAAAAATTAAACATTTTGAAAGCACAAAGGAAAAAATAAAAATCTCCCATAATCATGTCACTAAGAAATGACCAATGTTAACATACTGATACATATCCTACTAGGCTTTTATATGTATGTAGTGTGAATATTTATGAAAATATAACCTAAAAAGAAATATACTAAAATACTGATGATCACTAAAAAAATTGTTACATATATTTCTATGTAGCACCATAACATGGGATACTATATATGCTGCTTTGTAAAATTTAATATACCACAGACACCTTTCCATATCAATAAATACAGATCTATCATACTATTCTAATTTCTATATAACCATATATGGAGGTTATCAATTTATTTATCCAATACTCTATTAATGGGCACTTAAAGTTTATTGCCATCTTTCATTAATATTAAATCTCTAATGAAAATACCTGTACACACATCTGTTTGTTCCTGTCCAATTACTTCCTTATTATAAAGATCTACAAATGAAATTGTTGGTTCAATATACATATTGCCAAATTGCCCTCCAGAAAATCTGTAGCAATTTATTTTCCCACCAGCAGTATACAACCACACCTCTGAATATAATCAATTAAAAAAAAATTCTTTGGGGGCTGGCCTGGTGGCGTAGTGGTTAAGTTCAGGTGCTCTGCTTTGGCGACCCGGGGTTCAAAGGTTCATGTCCCAGGCGTGGACCTAGCACCACTTGTCAAGCTATGCTGTGGCGGCATCCCACATAAAATAGAGGAAGACTGGCACAGATGTTAGCTCAGCAGCAATTTTCCTCAAGCAAAAAGAGGAAGATTGGCAACAGATGTTAGCTCAGGGCTAACCTTCCTCATCAAAAAAACCTAATAATAATAATAAAAAAAATCTTTATTTGAGAGGCAAATAATGATTTCTAGTTTTTGAATTTGCAATTCTTTGATAACTTGTGAGGCTAACATTTTGTATATGTTTACTGCCATTTCTTCCTTTGGTAATAAGTACACAATTAATATGTTTACTTGTAGTTTATAATACAAATAAAATTATTAGCAGAAAGACTTCTAAAAGAAAAAAAAACCTTAGGACTAGCTCATCTGGAGGATTACCATCTTTAAAAATTATTACTGCAATATAATGATAGGAGTCCTGGTTGCTGTGAATCAAGTTTTTATCTCCCATAATTTTTGTCAGAAACCTTTGGAGGACTCTTGCATCTGATCAAAAAAGCTTAATGATGCAAACAGTGAATACTCCCTTTGATTTTTTTTATAAAAGTTGTTAAACATATCCTATTATTATGACATGTGACAAGGTCATTGTATTACATACATACCATGCCACTTTCCCTTGTAGACTGTCCCAAATGACCCAGATCCAATTCTTTGTCCCACTGTGATCTGCCCATCAGGAATCTCCCAATCGTCACTTGAATCCCGTCTACCAAGAGTTTTCTTGATAAAAACAGTGCAAAAGTCAGGCCAAAGCAAACAAAAAAGGAAAATCTTAGGTTTCACACTATGTACATTACCCTATGCCTGAAAGGGACATAAGTTAGAAAGAGAATAAGGTCCTTTAAAAAAAAAAAAACAAACCCATACACTGGAGGAATAATAGTGAGAAGTATGATTCTTACAACATGTAATTTAAATTTAAGACCTAAGTCTGTATCAGGATGAAAACAATTTATTAAAAAACAAAAATTATTTATTAGGTATGAGCAGAAATGTGTATTACTAAAATTAATGAAATAAAACAGGTTTTTATCATTTGGAGGACTACTAGGGGCAAGATAAGCACTATACATTTGTGACTAGTTTTGGTTCCAGAGGCCAAAATTTAAGTTAACATATTATGGTAACTGCTGATCATTTATCTACTACTCTCTTCCTGTCAGTCCTAAATTGCCTGATAAACCTTATTTGATTCAGCCTCTCAAAAAAAATCATCAACATAGATAATCACTTTGGTAGGGTAAAGGATCCACCTATGTAACATAGACTATTAATATACTATTGCTAAAATTAAATTACTACTTTTTAATATAGATTTATTTTGCAGCATAAAGTTCATTTTTCAAATAGGGAAGAATGTCATTTGGTAGATATTTAATTTCCAACCAGCACTTTAGAACATATATGGCTAATCATGCTTTCTAAAATACTGGCTTACTTTCATTTTTCTTATTTTAGAAACAGAACACTATTCTTACTCTTCCCAAACTGCCTTTTACTCCAGTACATTAGACTTGAGAGCAAAATTCAGTGTTGCAAGAATATGCTTTAAGCAAAAAACTATCAGTTCTTAAATCTGATTATGGGAATTCTGTGTCACATACCAATATATCTAAAAGGTGACATTACATTTGGCTATGACTTCTAAAAAGAAAAAACTTAGAGGAAAGATATCATATACTCTCACCATTCGATTCCTGTCTTCTGAGGATGAAGATGATTTCCTTTCCCGTTGAGGTCCTGGAGATTTCTGTAATGCCTTCACATTAGTGAGTGAGCCAGGTAATGAGGCAGGGGGGGTGGCAGATAAACCTGTGGTTGATCCTAAGGTAGTAAAAGGAAAAATGCATCCGTTAAAGAAGAATGGAGTATGTTAATTTATTGGGGGCGGAGGGTGAAGGGAGATTTAGACATTCAAAAAATGCAGTGCATGTTCAAATATATAACTCCTGGAAAGGAGAGCCAAAAGGGGGCCCCATTTGATGATTAGCACTATAGTTTCTTTTAGTTTTTGGCCAATTTAAAGATCTTTAAAACATGTGATTACAGATACTTTGCTTGGTTGGTGCAGAGTCTAAAAGAAAAACAATGTCTCTAAAATAAGAGATAAATATGTACTAAGAAATACTCCCAAGTTTCTGTTTCTTTGATTAAAAAAAATCAAAAGCGGGGCTGGCCCCGTGGCTGAGTGGTTAAGTTCGCGTGCTCTGCTGCACGCGGCCCAGTGTTTCATTGGTTCGAATCCTGGGCTTGGACATGGCACTGCTCATCAAACCACGCTGAGGCAGCGTCCCACATGCCACAACTAGAAGGACCCACAACGAACTATGTACTGGGGGGCTTTGGGGAGAAAAAGGAAAAAAATAAAAAAAATCTTTTAAAAAAACAACCAAAAGCAAAATTAACTTAAAAGCTTACGTAATGAGTAAACTTTTAATTATTTTATGTTACCTCAACAGCCAATCAATATAAAAAAAGATGGAGACCCCCAAATGGAAACATACTCTAATGGTGACCTTAATATTGAAAATATCTGGCTCTTTCACATTAGCCACTAAAACTTTTAAAAATCCCATACTACATAATGTACTATGTAAGAGTGAGAGATATCCGTCAGTTCCACTAGCTCCTGGAGGCTTATTCTATTAAACAAAGATTATTTGTTACCTGCATAACAAAGTTAATGTAAACAAAGTCATGCAGGTTTCTCAAGGTTTTCTGAAAAATCTCAGCCTTTACAAGTGAGTGCAAAGTAAGTGCTACTACCTCTCAGTCAAGTTACTGCAAACGAAAATATTCCATAAGCCAAGTGAGCCAAAGGGGTACACTCTTTGAAAGCGGACTCACTTGGCAAGGTTGCATACCTTTCTGATGGGTACTCTTCCAAACGCTGACTGAGCAAAAATCCTAAATTCACGTTTGGTAGAGCCTGGTTCAGAAGGGTTCAGGGCAATGACTCCTAGTGGGGCCTGAGTTCAGCCGAGCAGGACTGAGACATTAAGTAATATTTGCTTACACAAAACAAAAAGACTTCACTAGATTTTTTTTTTTAAAGATTACTACGCTCAGGGGAAAAAAAGATACTAACTTTCAAAGAAAAAAGATACCAATGACAACAATTAAATCTGTGTAGAAATTTTATCATCACTATATGATATACCTCAATGTGAAATTTCCATGATCTCGTATGCAATTTTCTCAAAGAAAATGGCATATGAAATGCCTACTAACTAGAGCACAATCCATTTTCTACCTTCCACTGATAATTTTCAGCATCATAAAACCTTAACTGCTAACTCAGGCTTTGCAGTTCTGATCTATTCAGTACTGTATTGCATTACTTACTTTAATTACACTACTCAGTATTGTATGACTTCTAGCCCATTCTATAGATTTCCTGAGAAACAGTTGGGCTAAGAGAGCAAAAATCTTAAACACCATCACTACATTCAGAATAAGTAACAGACACTAACTAGCAAGAGCCAGTAAATATAATTCTTCAAAAATATTTATAGCAAGACATCTGTCTCAATTTTGACTTAAATTATTAAAAATCCGTTTACTAATTAAAGTATGGCAAGATGAAATGGGAGAGTGAATTTATACTGTTTTTTTCCCTCATATTAGGGCATAAACCCTGAAAAATGTTAAATCCTCAAATTTCCTAAAGTGTCCTAAAATACCAAAATATATTACAAATCTTTTTAAAAACTCTGCCTTTGATATAATATAAATGATACATGTCCTACACAAAATAAAGACCCACTGCTGATATCACAGAAAAATATAGCTAAAAGTCTAGTAAAATCTCATAATAAGGACTTAATTTCCATTTTTTATTTTCTTAAAAACCATAAAAACTGATAACAAACATCAGCAGTCATCCAGGTTATCACTTAAATGGACTAAAATAAGTGGAATTCAGATCGAAGGAACCCCGCCACACATTATTTATTGCCACCCCCCGAGTTTAAGAAGTTATCAAGACCAAAAAGTAATATAACAAAAAATGAGATGGAAACCTCAGCTCAGAATTTTCTTGCTTTTAAAAATTTATGACAGACAGCACACAGAAAGCTTGTGATAGCGAGTATGTGTGAGAAGCACATTCAGAGCATTCCAGCCAGGCCAAGCAGAAATTTAGTACTGAAAACTCTCACACTTACAAACACACGCTGTGAGGGTGAGGCACAAACAGTATCTGTAGTTTATATTTAGTTTGCTTTGGGTGAAAACAAGAAAGAAGAGCCCAACTACCTCTGAACACTGGGCCAGGCTCAAAATCAAACACTATTTCACTGGGGACAGAATGTAGGAGGGGACTGGGAGTCCGGGATTGGTATTTCCGAAGACAGCGCATCAGCTGGTTCAAAGGGGCTGTTAGAAGAGAAAGAGAGGGGCAGGCAAACACAGGAAGACAGACACACAGAAGAAATGAAAGAAGTCATGGGGAATAAATAAGATGAGTCAAAGCCTGCTTCACAAGATAATTCTGGATGTTTAAAAAATCTGCTTATTTTCATAAAATCCCAATGATTTTTTAAAAAGTGACTCATAAAAAGGACGAAAAAATGCCACTTCATTTTAGGTAGTTAAGCAGGCAGCATTAACTTTTTATGACTAAGTTAAGTCTGTGATGCTAACATGATGGCAACATTTAAATGTTGGATGTATTGAGTAAAATTATCAAAAGCCACAGCTATTAAGACATATGAAAGTCAAACTGGCAGCAACATTAACTGGTGGGTTCATGGAATAACAAACAAAAAAAAACTTTTATAATATGTGCTATATGGTAAATACTAAGTCCAGACTATATAGTGCAGGGTTATTAATTTGGTAGTTTCACAGTTATATAGAAACATAACAAAATATGGTTTATACAATGTTTATTCAATATAAAATATCTTTGAGTCTAGGCTTAGATATTTTGAAGATAAAGCAGGTCACAGTGAAAAGACCAAGTCTAAGTAAGATAAGCAGGTACTACAGGTCTTCCTTATTAGACAGAAGACAGCTGGACCACCTGGAAGAAAACTTCAAGATAGTTTCAAAGACTACCTCTTAGAAAACATCATATGGGGATAAATTCTCACTTAAAAAGTATTTGCTTAAGCAATGTTTTCTTATGCCCCCAATTTTCACTGGGTGCTAGAGTGATTATCAGATGAAAATTCTGTAAGAAATCTTAATTCAATTTCTCATTTGTTTATTTTATTTCCCAGACTAATAAGAGGGTAACTGGGCTTTTCTATAAGGGGTCCTTTTTATAAAATGTACATTCCAAACCCTCCTAGGAAGGCTGAAGGGAAGTGGCTGACAATGTCTAACAAACTGAGAAGTTGAGACATGCAATTCAAGAGATTCTCCCCAAGAACAATTTAGGAAAGTTAAGTTTTAACCGATTCTAAGTTCAGACTTTAACTATTAGTGAGGGCTCCCAAAGGAAATTTAGCAACTCCGGCTTTCCAGATAGTCAGGAATTAATAAAGTGGGTAAAATAACTAAGGATCTCTCCTTGATAACAATATTTTAAAATTGAAGATAGTACATTTAAGACTCCCTTGTATGTCTTCTCTTTTTCTTTACTCATATTATAAATTAGTTAAAACTTTATTAGATCCAAATGATAAACACTAAAGAAAAACAGAAAAACTTTGGGTTTTCTCTACACATTTTTCTCTGTGTCTGTGTTTCATGAAAGAAGCAAATATAAAGACGACAAGCAGCAAAGCAATTGCATTTTTCCTTGAGGTTTTTTTTTTTTTTAATTGAAATCACTACTTACCTCCATCACTACGAAACCCTTGGTCTCTAATCAAGTCCTACAAATAAACAGTAATGTATATTTATTCAAAGCATATGATAAGAAAGTAGTAACATTGAATTTTCCACTAAGCATTAACAGAAAGGTTAATCCAAAATAATACCTGTCTTAAAACTATTTCACAAAACAGAAAGAATATGGAATTAGCCAGTGAAGATGATAAAATCAAACTTTTGAAACACTTGCCAACCCTAACCCTATAACGAAGGGATTATTAGTCCTGAGCAAATGCTGAAATCCATTTCAGGCCATTCAAAACCAATGGCTGCATCAATTCTTAAAAAAAATTCTACTGGCATCTATTAAGAGCCATAAAATGTTCATACCCTTTGATCCTGTAATTCCACTTCTGGGAATTTTTCCTAAGGAAATAATTCAGAAGAAAAAATGATATGCACAAAGATGTTTAGTGCAGCATTACCCATCATACTAAAAAATCAAATAATTATTTCCCTATTCTAGGTATATTGACATATTGGCTAAGTAAACTATAGTGTATCAATTTAGTAAGTATTATGCAGCTAATAAAACAATTAAGCTTGACTCATGAAACATTTACAATATGATTTAAAAAATACAATCTTAAATGTACACTGATTACAATCACAAAAATATGGATATGTAAGGACAGACTAAAAGGGAAAAGATCATAATGGCTCCACAAGCATTTTGTTAAAATTTGTCTTTATTACTAAAACACAGTTTTTGACAACAATGTTGGGGTAAGGGGAGGAGTCTACTAGCAATGCAGTGCAATTTGCATCTTGATAGGCAGAAGTTAGGTTAGTTTGTTTACCCAGTATAACTTAAATATGAGGGATTGAATGGCCCCAAATGTCTCTAAATAGGCTCGTAGGCTCTTTGCAAATAGGCAGCTTTTGTTTATAGGCTAAAACAGAGAGTAAATTCTTTACTGATTCTTTTCTATCAAATTCAATGTATTATATAAAGGCTTTAACATTTTCTACAAGATAATTAATGAATACTCATATACCTGCCAACAAGGTTCTAGGTGTTAGGGGTTGTGTGGCTACCAACAAATATAAAATCCTGGTGGTCTCACTAACTTTCTGTGTTCTTGAGAGCTTATAATTTAAGTGAAAGTAAGATGTACACAAATAGAAATTAAATGATATAAGAATAATAGTTTAAGAGAACGATTAAAAAGACGCCTAAGTTGTTAACTACCAAATAAATGCTATGGGTAAAAAGATCTTAAGTGCTAACACAAGTTCAAAGGATAAATAATTAACTATAGGACTTGGTCACTGGTGAAGCATTTGAAGAGACGGGCCATGAGTTGGGGTTTGAGGGACAGATAGGAGTGTAGAAAAGAAAAGCAGAGGGCCTTCTGGACAGAAAGAACCACAAGACAAAGACAGAAATGCCATATCCCTTTCCTCTTTGCTGCAGACAGAAATGCCATATCCCTTTCCTCTTTGCTGCAGACAGAAATGCCATATCCCTTTCCTCTTTGGAGCCCGTAGGGCCCCACAATCACAGATCAGCCACAGTCTGCTCTCCAGTCTTATGACCTACCACTAGTACCACTACAAATTTATATTTTCCAACCTCAAATATGTTCTTAAAGCTTCTTGACAATCTTTTCCACTTACTCCAGGTTAAATCAGATCATCTAGTATTCCAATAACGGCTACTTCAAACTTTTTCCCAATCTTTTGTAGTTCCTTTTTTACTTTTATCTTTCCCTTTAGCAGGAGAGAAAAAACAGAAGCCATCAAAGAACTTTCTGTCCTTCCTCTATATCTACAAATATTTGCACAGTAGTATTAGCTACAGTTTCTGAATTCTTATTATTTACCAGGCATAATAAGCATTTTCAAACACTATTAAGAGGTGAACACTATTAGCCTCAAGGTTAAGTCATCTGCCCAAGGTCATACTGCCTATAAAGAGTGGCAGAGCTAGCTATGTCCATCTTTATTCCTCATAGCCTCTGAGGAATACTGTTTCCAAGTTCAAGGAACTTTACTACATAAATTATTCCCTCTCTTGTTATTTTCAACCTCTCCCTTCACTGGCTTATTTCCCTCAAGTTACAAAAATGCTGAAGTCTCTCACATTAAAAACTATCCCTCAACCCTCCTTCAACCTATGGCTCTTTCAAGCTTTTCAAAATTGACACCATCTCACATCTTCATCTGCCTTTCTCTCCTCCACAAGCCCTCTGAAACAGCTCTCAATGAAGTCAAAATGACATTTTAATTGCCCACTTCAATGGTTACTCTCAGTCCTTATCTCATTTGAGTCTCAATAGCAACTGACATCAACTACTTCAGCCTTCTTGAAATCACTTTTCTCCCTTTGGCTTTTGCAACACTACTTTCTTTTACTTATCTGAAGCTACACTTAAGAACAGGAGCCCCAAAGAAGACAGAGAACAACTGTCTCTGCTTGTACCTCAAATGTTAGCGTTCACCAAGGTTGCATTTTCTACCCTCTTTTCAATTTACATACACTCTTTGAGTGATAACATTTACATCCGTGGTTTTAACTGACACAAATACACTAATTATTCCTAAACCTGTATCTGCACTTGAGGTCCTTATATTCAACTGCTATTGGACTTCTAAACCAGTAAAATCCCACAGACATGTTTAAGTCAATATGTCCAAAATAGAAGTTACCATTTTTGTTTCTATAAAACCTGTCCTTCCTTTGGTATTTCCTAGCTTAACGGATACTATCTATTCACCCAAACCAGAAATCTGGGCATTATCCTATACCTCCCCTCTCTTTCACCTCTCTCCTCTACTACTATACAGAACAGTTGTTAAGCATAAGGAAGAAAGGCTGGTTTTATTCCATTTCAATATTTATCAGCTGTGTTATCTTGGGTAAGTTTCTTAACCTCTCTAAATCTAATTTTCTTAACAGTAAAATAAGGATAATAATAGTACTTTAACCCATGAGTGTTTATAAGGACAGAATAAGAAAATTTATGTAAAGCCCGTAGTATAGTACCTGGCACATAGTAAGCATTCATAAATATTAGCCATTTTCAATATCATTCCTAACAATTATGCCTAACAGATCTCTCATTAATTCAAAGGATTTTTCTAAAATATAGAGCTGATCACTTTCCCTCTCACTCCAAGTTTTTCAGACCTCCCTACTACCAGCTACTACAGAGACGTTAGAGTACACACAATGCCTTCCAGTGTGGACTCCACCTATGCAGTTTCATCTTCTACCATTCCCTATCCTTCTCCTGAACCTTAAACTCCTACAACATCAACTGATAATTACACCCCATGTAAAAGTACTTTCACACCTTTGCACATACTGTTTCCTTAACAAATGCCCTTCCTTCCTAAAACCCTCAACTGGAGTTCTTCACTGCTACTCGTTCATCCTTTACAATCTGGCTTAAACATTGTCCCTTCTCTACTAAATATTCCTAGATTCAACCAGGTAGAGTTTATCACCCCCTTCTATAAACTATCACTATATATTTTATGATTATTTATTTATATGTCTAATACACCCATTGGAATGTGACCTCCTTGAAGGCAAAGACATGTACTAATTCATCCTTAATTCCCAATTCTGACACAGTGCCTATCCCAGAGTCAATATTAAATCTTATCTACTGGAACAATAAAGGTTGAGTAGTGGTTGATACTGAATGAAATGACTGAAAATGCTAAAGAGTTTATATTTTATCTTAAAGTCAATGAAAGTTTTAGAACAAAGGAACAGATGAAGATAATAGAGACATAAAAAAACTATTCTGACAGTAGCGTAAAGGATGGAAATGGACAGAAACCAATGGCAGGAAATACATTTAGGAGATTAATGTAATAGTAGTTCCAGTGAAGAAATATGGGCCCAGATGATGGTGGCGATAAGAACAAATTTTAGATGCACATCAAAAGGAAAAGGTGATACCTTATGACTATTTGGTTACAGGGGAGGATGAAAAGGCAAGATATAAAGACAACACTCCAAATGTTCAAGCCTAAGAGAAGAGAACAGTGGTAACAATAAAAGATAAAGGGAAATAGTTCAAAGGATGTTAGTTTTAAAAGTAAAGATGAAGGTTACAATTCTGAACATATCGAGAACAGACTTAACCGAGAAATAAGATTTGATTCCTTATTTCACAATCTCCTTATTCCTGTACTTCACTCTCCTATTTCTTTCTTCCTTTGTATTCAGGTCTAGCCAGATAGAGGAAGACCTTATTAGTTGAGGAAAACTGACATTAGTAAAAGGCCACTTAAAATGAATTCAATAAAAATAGAGAAAAAATTTCATAGTAAAAAGTTGGAAGATTATCTGATTTGGGAACTTATCTTGAAATATGAAATTAAAATTTATAATAAAGGGTTTTTTACATTTAACAAAATTTAAGTTATAATTTCAACAATACGCTAATTCTTAGAACAGACACAGACAGAATCAAGTTTTTGTTGATCACAATACCAAACTTATAGCATTACTGAAATTCTTAATTTCTTATTCATCTTTTACATCGCAATTATAATCATTTTTATAAAAATTTTAAGAGGACTTCCATCAATTCTGTTAAGGGTCTCTATCAATCCTTTGATAGTTAAATAATTTTTGTTTGAAGAACCTATTACATATATTGTCATCCTTATGGATTTTCTCTCTTCTATTGTTAACCAGACTAATTTAATTCTGCTGTTTCTTAATGGCTTTATATGATTCAAGTAGTTCTCCAAAGTCGCTTTTCATTGTTTTCATGAAATCTTTTCTTTGTCAGATTTGCACTAAATTTGCATTACGTTTTCAATGAAATGTTGGATTTTAATGTAAAGGGGTTGGAATGCAAGCTGGTATTAAATGGGGAGGGATGTCTGAGGACTAATATTAAAGTGGTCTTGTTAATGAGCGAATATTTTCCTGTTAGGACAATTTTTGCTTCTCTACCCAACCTTATAACTATGAGGACTCACATAAGGAATGCCTATATAATGAGAACAACCCTCGTCCCCTAACATACACATAACCACCTCACTAACTCCAGTAATCTTGTTTATATGGGGAAACAGTTTCAACTTCCTTTTTAAATATAATTACTTTCCAAGGCGAACAAACTCAGTGGATTTTTCTCAGTTTTGTTGCTTATTATAGACAGAGATTAAGGATAACCTACACTCTTTGTTCTAAAGCACAAGTACAGTGAGAAGTGACACCTAATTCTAAGATCAGGATCCCCAGCACACCACAGATGGGATAGCAAGGGCACTTTATTCTCTTCTTTAACTCAGTTATCCGGATGACTCAGTTAAATGAACCAGTCCTTTTGGATTGATCCTGTGTGTCTCATCTTTTTTTCTCATCTCTTCCTTCTCTTTGTCTATATCAGGGACTGGCAAAATATTGTGCCTGGTCACCTGATTTTGTAAATAAAGTTTTATTGCCACACAGTCTCACCCACGGGTTTATAATGTATTATCTATGGCTGCTTTCACACTACAATGGCAGAGTTCAACAGCTGTTATTAGAGATCATACGACCCACAAGCCTAAAATATTTACTACGTGGCCCTTTAAGAAGAAGTTTGTTGACCCCCGGTCTGTATTATGGGAAATTTCCTCTGCTTTAGCTTCTAACCCTTTTACTGAAACAAGTATTTTTTTGATGACCTATTATGTGTTTATCCTGACAAGTGCCAAGGGAACTGTATTAGGAATGGTTTCTGTCGTCTAGAAGTTAAGATCTAATTGAAGAAGCCACACTAATGCATATAATTAAGTTACAGTGTGAAAGATAAACTGGAAAAGTAAAAAAGTCAAGAGTGACCAGCCAGAAGGTAGATAAAATAACTGAAGAGGTAAAATCACAATATATGATGATGATACCAGAGAAGATGCATTTTAAAAAATGAATCACTAAAACCGAATGACAAACTTTACACAAAAAGAATATGCCAAAATTCAAGATATGTATAGAGATGGAATAGAATGGTACACTCAAGAAAGTAAAGAAGGTAAAGGGTAGCTTTACATGTCAAGTACATAAAGACTAGTCCTTAAGGGTTATTTAAGTCAAAGTTCCACTTTTATAAATTTAGGACATGATTTCAAATTGATCTAAATAGGAAATCTGCAATTGTATTCTTATTTTATCTGTACCATAAAATGGCCAAGAGGATTATCTGTTAAATAAATGAAGATAAGACTTTTACAGAGATGGTGCCATAAGGAAAAAGAATCAGGATAACTCTATAATTTGGCACCAGTTAAGCATTTAATGTTAGAGAAGATGACAATGTTTTTCTGATCTGTAATTCATGAAAAGTCTATCACTTATAATAACTGAGATAAATGAAAGGTGGCATTTATTTCTGATCTATATTATAATTTAGCAGAAAAATTAAGAAATATACTTAAATTTTTTTAGTTTTAACAATGCTGGATACTTACATCAATATTGACAGGTTCTATTGTGTTTATATGTACATTTGGAGCTGATGAGGACCGGTCTCGTTGTCCAAACTGATTTCGATGATCTTCATCTGCTGGTCGGAAAGGCTGTGGAATTGGAATGGATTTTGAAGGAGATGGACTGGTGAGAATTTGGGGCCTGGAAAAATCAAGTCATTGGGAGATAAGATTCAGAGCAACTTTACAGAGATAATAACATAAAAAAATGAATGATATAAAGATTTGTTTTTATAGTCTCAAATAAGATCTTTAAAACAAAGCATTAAAAACCTAGCTAATGGCTTTTAAAAGTATTACTTTAAAAAACTAATATATGCCTACAACTAATACTGACAAAGCTGCTTTGCTCAAACAGACCCTCCAGGGACTATCAATAACAAGAACATTGATTCTTATCCAGAAAATCCTAGGGAAATCTACAAATGGCTAGATATTACCTGTAGTTAATCTGCTGAAGAAACTCTTGTTCTTTAAAGTTAGACAAAAATGCTCTAAGTAGACACTGACTGAATAAAACCTGTTTTTTTTTACCTTTGCCATTTCTTGATAGCTGAAGTTACTAAAATGAAATTTTTATGAAACGTATTAGGAAATTAGAAATATCTGGAGAATACACACGCCTATTTCAGGACCTGAAAGTTGTACCCTGTTGCTTTACACAAAAGTTGAATTAAATTTCTGAACAACAGCAAAAGACTATTTTAAAAATCAAAAGATGATCCTTCTAGTGTCAATCTCTCATATTTAAACATTTTTACCATGCCCAATAACAGATACGATACAGAAGAATCATATATCAAGCATTAAACCAAGCATTTTTAAAAATTGTTTTCTGATGAAGCCATCAAAATAGGCAACAGAATGACCTATTTTGGTACTGTAGATAAATAACAAAGTCTATGATCTCTCACTGCCCCCAAAATGAATCTGGCACTCACAAAGCACACAAATTTTGAGAACAGATTGTAAACACCTGTGAGGAATCTATCCCCATCAGAAAGGATATCCAAGGGAGCTGGGAAGTAAGCACTTGATGAGGTATGGCTGTCTTAGTGAGCTCCATCTGGACCAATGAATGACAGTGCTAACAGCCTCTCTTCAGAGACTGGTTATCATTTCACCCATCTTATGCAAACTCTGTAACTAATCAGCATTATTTAGTGGTTATTAAGACATAGCTAGAAAGACAATGTTGAGGGAATAAAAAGACATTTTGTGAAAGGAGAGGGTTTAGAGAGGAATGGAAAGAAAATATAGTAGAAAAGGAATACATAAAGTTTGAAGAGCCAAAGCCAAATAGTGAGAAAAAGCTCCTGAATAAAGCATGTTAATAGAATCTGAACTACACTAGTTTATAGTTGTACTTCTTTAAAGCATACTATTAAAGGCAGGGAAAGAAATTTTTACTTTGTTCATATTAACTAAATGAATCCACTCAGAATTGAAGTAAAAATTTAAAAATGTTACATACCTTAAAATATTAGTATTAGATCACTAAGAATTATAGGTAAGACTGATGGAACTGGCTTTTAAAAAAATTAGCATGCTCCACTGGCCCTTGTTATTCTGATTATTGAGAAATTTTTAGTTTGTGACACAGCTGTCTTTATTTTTGCTGTAGGTAGCCAGTATATGCCCTTTGCTAAAGGATTTTGGGAGCAGCACAAAGAATGTAAAAATGACAATATTAGTGTTTTTAAAAAAGTTTTGGAAAGTGCACTTATTTCTTAAAAACTATTTATAGGCCGAGTTAAAGTCTTAAGGCAATAGTATACTTTAAGTTAGGACTTAAAAGCAGAAAAAGCCTCAATTAACTACAACTGTATAGAATAGTCTAATATAACTGATCTGGTACAGGCATAAGTGATAGCAAGCCATTCTTGAAACTTACTGAATTAAGACTATAACAGCAACATGTTGTACATAACAAATCAGAAATATGTATGCAAAGGACACTGGTACAGAAGTAGGAAAAACAAAACCCTGGATAAATTTTGTTATCATATCTAAAGAAAAGAATGAATATATTAGAAAATGAGGATATCTGCCTATTATACAAAATCAGAAAGACTATATTTGGCATTTGGTATATAATACAACCCAGGGAAAGGTAAGCATTGGTCCACAAAGTCAACTTATCTAGCCTTGAGGGCAAGTATATTATAATTTTGAAGAATATTTCAAGTTATTACATCCTGATGTCATTAAACATCTGAACCATGTCCTAATTTCAAAAACAATCTTCGGATTGTAATTTGGTTTCTCATAATTATCTTTCAAAAGCGGAGTGAGTACTGATCCATCCAACAGGTATATTTCTCTCTGAAATGAATTACCTGGCATTCTGATTTTGGTTACTGACAACCAATACATCCCTGACCTTCATCATTTCTGGGAATCAACCAAATTGCATTTCCACACTGTGAAGTCTTTACCTGGACCAAGGTAATTTAGACCTTGTGAAGTATGCTGGGAGTCAGCAAACTGGCTTTCTCCTGATGATACCTCTCCCTATCTAGCTGCAAACCTCTTTAAAACAGTATCAAATTAAAAATAAAAAGAATTTTACCTCTAACACCCTTCAGCAAATTACCACTTAGTTTAGATCTCATTTTAATCTAGAATATTAAATGTTTTGAAGCACAATGACTTCTGTTCAGTGATATGCAAATTTTAAAATGCTGACTTTTCATAAACTTATAGATTCCACAGCATTTTTAAAAAGTAGAAAAGGAAGTACCCCTAACATTCTATTCAAAACTGGGCAATGTATCGCTTCTTCAGTATGTCTTGGTTACGTCTATTATTACGCGTGTTTCATGACCATTATAATTGTTATCAGGACTATTAACAAAATGCAAAGGAACATTGATATAAAACAAGACTGGCTTCTTTCTTTTCACAGGCACCCATATACGCTTGTGACATAAAAGCAACAGGAAAACAAAAGTTTGAACATCTTATCATTTGCTCAAGACCAGAATGTACTTCAGTTTAGTTACGAATAAAATATTCACGGCATCGGCAAATGGTTTCTTAATGTTAAGATAGCATTCCTTCACTGGAAGCAAACATCCTGGATCATTACACCATTATAAATCTTTGGAGAGGGCAAGCTAATTTCATTATGGTGTTCTGTAACTCTGCTCACAGAACTGGGACCTGCCATTAGAAAGGCATCATGGTCTAAAGAATCTGTCAGGAGTAAATGTCATAAGCCAAAGGATTAATTAAAAAATCAAAATGAACAGTAACAACACTTTGATTTGATCTTCTAAGAAATACACAGGTGCATACAACAAATGATAGAGACAGCGGGAATAAAATGACTCCACCAGAGAGGATAACTGTTACTTCCTCACCAAAGAACATAGTGGTTTCATTTTCCAGTGTTCCAAAGTAGATAAACACTTCTACTCCTTAATATAAAAGTCTTTTGCTAAATTTTCTAGCCTATGAGACTTCTAGGAAGGTTAGCTTTGTAAAAATTACACGTCTATTGGGAGTGTCAACTTAATTCTCTCTCTAGGTAGACGAAATAGTGTTACATTGTAAAGAGTGGAAGGAAGTAGGGTTAAAACTGACAATAAATATTTCTGATCTTAAATAATATCTCTAGAATATTCTAGAACAGAATGCTGTGTGGGTACTTTTTTAACCATATGCTTCCAGATATAGAGTAATTTATGCTGCCTCAAGTTCAATAGGGAAAGAGTAAGTAGACCTGTGTAAGAAATGCTCCAAAGCAAACTAATATCTACTAAACTCATCATGTCTGTTTTTTCTTACTATGAAGTTGGAATACGATGACTTTGTATCACCTTTAAAGTCAGTTCTCTCCTTTATCCTCCACAACTATAACACTATGATTCTTTTCTTTTACACTTTATGAATACTCATCCCTTCTCCATGCTGCTGCTCCAGTTCAAGTCCTCAACGACTCTCAGTCTTCAGTGTCAGCAGTGTGCTAGCCGGCCTTCTTCACCTGACACATTTCTCCGTCAGTCTATCTAAATATCATTGCTAAGTGATTCTTTCTTTAAAACCACTTTCATCAGGTTAGTCCACTGCTCAAAAACCTTTAATTATTTTTTCCACTCTTGTGTCAAGTCTAAATTCCAGCCTGAATTCAGTGACTCTCCATAATCTGGTTTACACATGATCCTTCTTGACTTAGATTAGCCTCTCTTCACTATCTTCCAAATCCACCATCCCTACTCCCTTTATTTATGCTTCCCTCGAACCTCCCTCATCATCATGCTTTTATACCTAAGCTCATTCAGATTCTAGAATTCTTTAAGATGCAGTTCAAATTCCACTTTATTAAATTTTCTTGACTACTCTCACTATTCTTTCTTCTGTAAACATGATTATTTATGCCCTTTCCAAAGTTTAAAATAGTAAGTCATAAATTGTAGATTATAATTATATACTGTTTTTAAATTGTTTGCCATTGTCTCTTATGTTAACGCTACTCTTCTAAATGGAAGTCATATACATCTATATATGATATTACCTAACAAAGTGATGAGCACAAGGCAGGGAATCTAAATTATCTGTTGCTTGATTTTTTCAAGACTGGTCCTGAAACAGTCTATGTCAGCTTTAATCCCATATATCTCTTCCAAATGCATGTAAATATATGACTGGTGTGATAAAATAGGTTATCCGAAAAAAATTTCTTAACAATCCAAATGTTGGAAAGGCTTATAATTAACCAAAAGATTCAAAAGAAACCAGCTCATATAGCACGGCACTGAAGAGCAGCAGGAGTCAAATCATACCCAATGGAATCGGAGGGGGGTGCAGAAGGGGATGATCCAGATGTAAGGGCAGTCTCTGCTAAGGAGGCCTCCTCCTGTGATACTGGGTGGTGTTCAAAGAACTTGGAGACAAACAGCAAACTGTGAGGCAAAAACAAAAACAAAACAAAACAAACCTAACTTGTGCAAAACCCAGAAGCTTCATAACACCAGAATACATCATTGAGTTAAATATCTGAAATCAAATTCCATTTTCAGAAACGACTGTTAAATTCAATTAGTTGTATTTCTGTCTAAAGGCTTATTTAAAAAAATTATATTTACTTTCAAAGGCAAGCTCAAAATCCAAAACTAGTCCTTCTATACAGCAAATGCCTACATATTAGAGGGGAAAAATCATGCTTTATGGTTAAGGAATTAGAAGAAAATGTATACCCTACTAAGTTAGATTACATCATTATAATATACTTTAAAGTACAGAGTTGAAGTCTATTTGCTCAAGTGATCAAGAAAAGTAATAAGACCTTAAAAGCAGCAACAACAATAACATAAAAGATGATTAAAGTAGACTCAGTCTAATCTATTGGCATAAAGCAAACGGAAATTTTAGAAAGAGACACACTGGGTACAAAGATTTCATATCTTACTTTTAAATAAACCAGGAGGGTGGGGGATAGAAGGAAGGAGGGGGAAAAAAAGAGATTGAGAGAGACAGAAAACATAATTTACAAAACAGATGAGAGAATCAGACCTCCTGATCTGTGATCCAAAAATATAAGGGTTAACTTAATTGAAACAACACCTGCTCTCCTCCCAAAACCTCTCTGAAAGTGATTTTCATGGGCAAGGGACCTTCATTAATTAAAAAATAATATAAAACATAGATGAAATGTATAGCTAAAGCAATATTACAATTTTGGAAAGAAGTACTGGCTATACTATTTATTACTCTCTAGCCACACTTTTTTTTAATTCCCTGTAACAACTCTACTGGAAAGACAATCCCCACAGACTCTAAGACATACCAGTTTCAGATTAAGTTAAAATGGTAGATAGAAAAGAGATTTTGTTTTTTGATTACTTACTCAAGTTGGTCATAATTAACACACATCAGTGGAACCTCTGTACTACAACGCTGGTGAAATTTATAACCACATGTTTGACAGCGGAAACCCTGGAAAAGCAGCTTTCGACAAAAGTCACAAAATGCTAAGGTGAAAAAAGTTTTCCGTACCTGCAAAGTAAAATATCATAGAGGATTTCAAAAGCTTGCAAGAATCTTTTTAGAAATCAACTTATTTACTCTTTTGTTTAAAATAACAAATCTTTAATATGTTTATATCATGAGAACTGCCTCACACACTAAGATACTAAAATCAAAACCAGTGGGTTCAAGATAACAGATGGAGTATATGTATTTATCTCCCACTCAACATCCAATTAAAAAACTCAGAAGTCAAGAAGGTGGGAAATGAATAAAAGACTGGAAACTAATTTCAAGGTTAACTACATAAAAGTAAAAGTAGAGATGACAAGCAGAAAGACAGAATAGAGCTGAAAGAAAGGATAAGGGTACAGTTTAATAACTATACAAAGAAAGGAGTTAAGAGATGCTTACTGGTGTTGATAGAATAAGAAACAAAGGTATATTATTTAAAGTTATAAAGGTATCCAACAGAGGAACCAAAAAAACCCAGAAAACACATTGGAGGAGGTGGAAAGGTTGTAATACTACAAATGAGATAATTCCCTATGGAATCAGTAATCAGTAAATGATGTCTGAAGTTGGTAAAGTAAGAAAGTGTGGTGTAAAGTTACTACTTAGTAATATGCAAATAATCACCAAAAGAGCTTAAAACAGAAACCATTAAAAGTTAAGAGTAATTTCCTCTGGAGAGTGGCATTAAAAGCTACCAAGGGATGGGGTGACATTATTTTTCATTATATATAAGCTCCTCTGCACTATTTTTAAAACTATATACATTTGATTAAAATGTAAATATACTTTGACTAAAATGTTAAAAACAATTATTTATAAAAGAAAAAACTAGTTTGCAATTATATGAAAATCAGAACCCTACCTAAGCTTGGTAACTAGGACAAGGGATAGGAAAATCACCTAAAAGACAGCAGCAAGTACTTTTAACAAATCATCAGTTTGTTAGAGGATTAGAACATCTAAATGTATTTGTGAACATTCCTCTATGTGAAACTTGAAAGGCAACATGTAAGAACTCCATGTCAGAAGGCGAATGCTCTACAACATGGGTCACACAAACAGAACTGTGCTGGGAAGCTCTATCTTGATAACTACCGAAGCCAGAAATCGCTTAAAAAGTATTTGCTTTGTGTATATAATAAGCAGACAACATAAAAAGGATAAACAAATACCAAAATGTTAACAATGGCTATTTCAGAGTGGTGAGAACATGAGTGACTCTATTTTGTCCCTTTTTCTTTCCTATATATTCTCAATTCATCTCAGTTTTTCAGACAGTTTTAATCACAAACAACAGTAAGAAATATATTTTTACATTACGACCCAGGACACACCTGTATTCATATAACAATACTTACCTGACCAAATATGTACATCAAAATTTTCTAATCCATTACACGTAAATGCTTTTCATCATCCATTACATTGATTTCAACACTCACAGTTTACCAAACTCTTTTCAAGAAACACATATTTAATGGGATAAAAAATTATTAAAAAATAATGTTTCATCAAGAAAATGGTATCTTGGCACACCATCCATTCTGGCTTTTTGAAAACATTTAGGTAGTTTTAAGAGTGGTTCTAGTTTTCTTCATCTTTTTTTGTTATGTATCACTTTCTAGGGGATTTAAAAAGGCAACTGCTTGTTTTTATTAGCTTTGTTCCTTTTCCTTTGTCTCTGGATATACGAGAAATTAGAAAATCTTCTTTAATATTTATGAGGCCACTATTTACCAAAGCAAGCACCTTTTATATTGTTAGCAGAACCTCAGGAAATAGATCACAGAAAAATACATTTTCACAGGAATCAGCATTTTATAGTCATCTGATCCTCTTTGCTAACCACTCACACCCTCACTTGCCTGATAATTTATTGAATTTCATGAAGCCCTAATTTCTCTTCCTTCATTAATCTACTCAATTGCAGTCATTCTTCCTATCACTGACTTGTACTTGAAAACTAGGTATAACTAACTGTGTATGTAAAGGAGGAAAAAAGAAAAAAGAGGTAAGGAGAGAGGGGAGGAAGGAGGGAAGCAGAGAGAAGAAAACATCTGAGGGGGAGAAAACGTGGGTATGCATTTGATTATAAACTGTAAGTGACATGTACATGTATCTCTGAGCATACGTCTGTCCGTAAAGGTGGACACAGGAAGGTATAACTTTTCTTTTGGGTCACAACTCAGGCTTATTCTGGAATTCAAGTACATCCAGATATGGATGGCGAACTAGTGGAAGGCACAGACCTAGCAATTTGCATGCATTAATTTGTAAGGTGTGGGCTGTCTGAAGGAAGACATTAACCTCAGTGCTTATAGAAAATGAGAAGGGCTGGACACATGGCATCTGTTTCAAATCTTGTTTCTCTACCTTCCCCGACCCTGCGCCCCACCAGTTCCCAAGAACTCCTGGGATATAGGTAAATACCGAAGGAACTGCTTTTATAACAGATTCTATGAAAACAGGAGGCATAAGAAGCATTCCTTGAGTAGCCAGCAAAATCCATTACTAGAGAAGCAAAGAGAGGAATTCTTTGCTTTCTAGGCAGAACATAGGCTTTTACTCTTGCCCCTATATGGCGCTCAAAGCAATTGCTCTAAAACACAAATTTAATCACACTTCTCCCCTCCTTACAATTGTTAACTTTCCAATTATTTTAGAGGGAAGTCCAAATCTTTAACATGGCTTACAGGGACTCTCATGAGTTGGACTCTGCTTACTCTACCACAACTCTTGTTACACTGTAACACACCCCCTCTCCGACTTTGTACCATCCATTCTGAACTTTCTCAAAACTGAAAAGGTAACATGTTTTCTTGCTGTTCCCTCTGTCTAGAGTACTCTTCCCTTCAATCTTCATCTGCTATTCTCTCATCCATGAGGCTTTAGCTTAGATACTTCTTCCTCTGGGAAACATTCCTGATCCCTCAAGGGCCAGGTTAAGGGTCTCTATTCTGTGCATCTTTAGCACTTTATACATACACAGTAATTAAGAGTGTTTATGAAATTTTCTTATTAAATCATGTCTCTCTACTCTAAGGCAGGAATATACTGTTTTTCTTATTCATTGTTATATCCCCAGATCAGACACAGTGTTGGCAAATGTAAAGTTCTCAATAAATATTTGCTACTCGGTCTCCAACTGTGTTGTGAGGATTTCCATACTCTGGAACTAACCTGCAGTTGGCTTTCATTATCCTTTTGTGGCGAGGACCTTCCTGAGGCACTATTTTAATACTATTTTGTGGTTAGCAACTTAGGTCTTCTTTCACCTCCTCATATCCAATTTCTAGCTAAGAAGAATAATTAAGAAAAAGAGTAGTAATCACTATGAAATGTAAGCTCAACTGTTTTTGGATTCCTAAAAATTTAAATAAAAATCTTAAGATTTATCCACTCAAATTCCACAAGTTAAAAAAAATCAATAGTAATGAACTTTCTAGCTTATCATTATAAAACTACTTGTTACACAGTAAATTTGATTGACATTAGGCGTATCTTACACTCATCTAAAAGATGCCTTATTTATTGAAGCACAAACCTGATATAATTATTCACCAGTAATGGAGCCCCGAAAGCACAAACCCGCAAGCAAACCATCTCATCAATCGTCTGTTTTAAGAGCCCAGCTGTACTAACCACCAAGGCACATGGGAAAACATTTGATGCCAAAAGGGTAGCAATAACTATCCATCTAGAATAAACAAACTACAGTTAAAATTCCATATATACAGAAAAGTCAGAAATGCATTCCTGCTTTAGAGATCACTCTAATCCTGGCTTCTGCCTACCCTTTTAGAGGATAGGTTCTCAAGCTCTGGGAATCTATCCTCCTCTCTAAGGCGGAGAGGTCCCATGTTTCAGGCCTCACGCTGGTGACACTTAGCTTTGGCAAGTTTCTAGCAAAACCAGATAAAGGGAGAAGTCCTCAAAGAGAGCTATTCTACTTCCATTAACCTATCCTTCAGAAACATTTATACTAGTGTGTCAAGATATATGCGTAAAGATTCTATTTAGTCCTGTATATAATTTTTTGAAAACACTTTAAATATCTATTAATAGAGGGATGGCTAAATATACCTAATTTATATTCTTATGGACTACTATGCAATCATTACAAAAATAAAGCGAGGTGTACTGACATGGAAAGATGTCCATGACGCATTTTTGTAAAAAAAGGTGAAGAATATTACACAAAACATTATTCCAATTTTAGTTTAAGAAAAGTAAAGAAATGGAAAATAATGAAGGGAAGAGATGGGAAGGGAGGAAAAAAGATAAGAGAGAAAACTCAGGGCTCACAGGTATAAGCACACGTTTGTATCCACAGAAAGAAGAGAAAGAATCTGGAATACTATACAATAAACTATTAACAAATGTTTACATCTAGCATAGTATTTTCACTTTCTTACTTGATTTACTTTTGTACCATTCAAATTTTCTTTTTATTTTCTTTAAATAATGGACATGCATTGCTGTTTTAAATTAAAAAGAAAGCACAATGATTAAAATAAAACTCTTTAGTTTAAATACGAGTTTATTAAAGAACAAAACTGATTTTCAACTTAGGTAAAATATCAATTCTCAAATTATTCATCCATATTTCATATTCCCTAAATAGAAATTCATTCACAAGAACCCAAACATTTTTGACATTTCAAAAAAATGTAAAGGTACATACAAAGTTGTGTGTTGTAAGTGGAACATTCTCCAACACTTCTACATGCAATTCCTCTCCAGTGAGCCAGGAAATATCAGTGTCCCAGCCAATTGGTTTCTTCTCTCTGCAAAGTGTAGACACAAATCTTTCTTGGTTATTATACCTAAAAATCTTCATATACCTCATGCTGAAGATATGAAAATTTGGTTATTGAGGGGCTAGTAATGGTGAGGGAGGTTTGGCTCCCTGGTCTTCCATCGTTAGAAATTTAAATGGCAATAAATTAATTTTTAAGTTTACCCCAAATAAATGTATCACTCTTGGACAAACAGCAGGGTAAAGAGATGTACTCTTTTCTTCAAGTCAGCTCCAGAAAAGACCTACAACAGCAGAAAATGGATTGTTCCTGGCGTCCAAAAAAAAAAAAGAAAAAAAAAAAATCACAGGTATGGATATTTATCTATCCTTTCAAAGAAAAAGAGTACTCAAGGGACAACATGCCCCAAAAAGAATACTTTTTTAAACTGGGATTCAAAATTTGGGGGGAGTCTTGGCACAATTTTAGATGCATTCTGAAAGAAAAATAGTTCAATATAAAATGTTAATTTTGATAAGCCTTTTATGAAACTGAGAGTTCGTATTAAAAACAGGGGAGTTGGGAAGAGTCCACTATTCAAATAAAGCACATTCTAAATGGTTCAAAAGTTGTAAGAATCTCAAATTCCAAGTAAAGTCATTTAATTAGAGTAATAAACACTATCATCACACAAAATTATTTAATGTTAACTCCTCAAAGGACCTACAAGATTTCTTTAGGTGAACTTAATATTTTTTTCTGAAGTTGATTTTCAATTTCCTAGGCTTGGGTACAGATCCTACAGAAAACCCCAAAGTTTACTATCTGAGGGTTTTTTTTCCTTTTTTTAAACAAAACTTCACATCACATACAAACCATACCCATCCTGAATTCTGTAAACAGCACAGCACTCTGGGATTAGACCTCTCATCATCAGTGCTTTCTTTAGACTGTCCCGGACTGTAACGCCACACCTTGCAGGTACCTATAGTATCATAAATACATGATATGAGGTAAGGGGAATAAATTAGGTATTTTTTCACATCATTTTCTCAAAATTCAATAATTTACCTTTACAACATAGTATCTTTAAAAGGTCATATGGATTACTATGTCAGAGACAACATCATTTCTTTTTTTTTGAGGAAGATTAGCCCTGAGCTAACATCTGCCGCCAATCCTCCTCTTTTTGCTGAGGAAGGCTGGCCCTGAGCTAACATCCGTGCCTGTTCTCCTCTGCTTTATATGTGGGATGCCTACCACAGCATGGCTTGCCAAGCAGTGCCACGTCTGTACCTGGGATCCGAACCAGCGGACCACAGGCTGCGGAAGGGGAACGTGCACACCTAACTACTGCGCCACCGGGCCGGCCCCAGAGACAGCATCATTTCTAAAGCTAACAATATTAAAGGGAAATTATAACTCAAATATCTGTTATTTTCACCAACTTAAAGCAAAATTGATTTGGTTTTTATTAAAATTATGGAATATTTTAAACATATAAAAGAGAACAGAAAATATAACAGACATCTATGTACCCATCACTGAGAAATAATAGATGTTAACAATTAAAGCAGATTCAATTTTGATCCAACATTGTTCAAAGCTGAAAACTGTAACCCTTCAACCACACTGATGGTCCTTAAAAGACATCTTACTGATCCTAAACATAAGAGGAAGAAACTACTTGTCTTAATGCGCGTAATTAATATTTGTTGTTTAGTTGCCTAGCATTCCTATTTCCTCTGGGAACCTGCCCAACCCTAAAAATCCACATGGTACTAGAGAGGCTATCAGTCAAGGGTTGCTACTTTTCTAGCTACACATGAAACAGCTGGCTAATCAGTTTCTCATATCCCTGGCAAAAGCAACTGATCCAGGACTAGACACAAGACCCAAACAACACAGGAGTTCTTCCCTAAACTGACAGAAGGACACTAGCTATGAGAAGTCCCTATTTCTACTGTAGTTACATTGTGCCAAGACGACAGAAATCTGGAGCCCCCAGTGGCTATCTTTCCCACTACATTGAGAAAATCTGGTTACAGAATGAAGCTAACCTAGGGAGAAGTAGAGATGACACTGGGAGTGGGGAAGGAGGGCGCCCTGGAAAGAGATAAGAAGAACCTTTCTACATATTTGAAGTTATCCCTACTCTGGCCTTTTCTGCAGGTGCCCAACCCCCAGCCCAACCCCACTGAATGTGAATAATTTATAACTGAAAGAGAACTGACAAACAGTGTAGACTAAAGTGAGAGAGTGGGAGTTCAGGATGGTTATTTTTTATGGGGGGGATGGGAGTGGAAACAGAGGCAATGTGTTAGTTAATAACAATAAAATTAAAGGTTCCATTCTTTTAAACCATGAAAGTACTTAGCAAACCAGGTTTCCAAAGAAACTGGGGAATCTTTATGTCAGAGGGGAAAAAAATGGAGTAAAGGTGAATATAAGACAACTGAATTTAAATAATATATTGAACAGAGAACAACCCAGAAAGCCAAATTAGGACATACAATTAGAAAAAACAGGAGGCAGATTTTAGCTCAATTATAACCGTTAAAACTACCTAGCAAGGCAAGTTTATCATGAAGGAGTAGGCTCATCATTGGAAGTATTCAAGAGATGGGACCAGTACGGTTAATGCTCTTTATTCATGTACTCCGTATTTGCGGAATTTGTCCACTCACTACAATTTATTTGTAACCTCCAAATCAATACTTGCAGCGCTTTTGCAGACATGCGCAGAACGGCAAAAAATTTGAGTTACCCAACAAACGCCATCCCACTTGAGGCTGAACAAAGTAACAAAGTAGCTTCTTGTCCTAGCTCTCATACTCTAAACAAGTGACCTATGCCAGTGGGCTTTTAAGCTAACAAGCCCCAGCCAGCTGTGAAGAAATAAAGAACCTAGAAGCCAATATACAGAGGCCACCTTGGCTCATTTATATAACAGTAACCTGTATTTCCCCTAGGAGCAATGGTTTAGTGTTTGCAGCAAATTTATAGAACATACCTACTGCAAACAGCGAGAACTGGCTGTACATTCCAGAAAGAATGAAGGGAAAGCTCACTCTTTCCCTCTGCTACTCATATTCCACCTACTCTAATGCAACAACTTCTTGGTTGGCAGCCCTATCTTTAGTTTTACCCCCATCCAACCTATCCTATCCCATGTTACCATAGATATCTTTCTAAAGAAGGTATTCTTAACTTTTCTGTGTGTCAAAGACTTCTGAGAATCTGAGGAAGGCCTCAGATGTTCTCTCTGGAACATAAAATTTCAGGGGGTTCATTGAACCTGAAACCAACATATGGACTACTGAGGAGCTCAATGAACTCAGATTTAGAATCCCATCCTAAAATATAATCTTACGTTTTATGAGCCCGCTTAAAATTTTCCCATTATTTATAGGGCAAAATTCAAATTCCATAATATGGCATCAGTGAACTGAGGCTATCTATGCCAGTTCCTTTGGAAATTTCCCTCATGTGCCCCAGTAATGCCATCTTCAAATACAGCTATGCTCCCTAATGCTTCTCAGCACAGGTTGATTCCAAGGCATGTATATATTTCATCAGCAGGCAAAAATTGGGTTTCCCACTCTATCACCAAGGGAAAATCTATCAATCAGTCTTTCTTCATTCCACTCCAGTAGGCTGATTTTTTGTACTATTTGCTCCTTCATGATAGTGCCTATTCAACAAACCGACAGATCAATGGAACAGAACTGAAAGATCAAAACAGACTCCAATACCTAAAAGAAATTACAATAACACGAAGACAGCATCTGAAATAGGGCAAAGATGAACTTTTTAGTAAGTGATGTGGGGACAACTAGAACTAATCTAGAAAAAAAGGTTCATTTATACTTCATATTGTACACTAGGGTAAACTCCAAATGGATCAAAGGTTTAAATGGTGAAAGAAGGAAGGAAGAGAGAAACCATAAAAGAACTGGAAAAAAACCATGGTAAACTCCTTTATAATCTGAAGTGAAGAAGGCCTTTATAACTATGATGCAAAATCTGGAAGCCACAAAAGAAAAAATATTAAATTCCACTAAATAAAACTAAGAGCCTTTTAGATGGCAATACTAATAAACACAGAGTAAGCAAAGTCAAAAGACAAGTTCGAACCGGGAAAAAATATTTGCAACTCATATAACAGGCATACAATCTTCCTGACGGATAGAGAGCTGCTGAACAATTGAGATCAAGACCATCAACCCAAAAGAAAAATGGATATAGGACATAAAAGATAGTTCATAGAAATAGAAATGGCCTTCAAACATATGAAAAGGTATTCAATCGCACTGAGAGAGAAAAGCAAACTCAAACCAGCCACGATGCTGTTCATTTACCAGACTGGCAAAAATCCAAACGTTTGACAACATATTCTGTTGCTGAGTCTACGGTAAAAAGGCATCTCTTACATTGCTGGTAGCAGTGCAAAATTAAGCAACACCTATGAAGCAAAATTTGAAAGTATCTATCAAAATTACAAATGCAAATTTCTCTTTGATCCAGGCAAGCCTACTTTTGGTATACCACAGTATACTGGTCAACTACAGCTGTGTATTTCAGTAGTGCATTTCTTCCCACGGAGTAGTATTCTATTCTATGGATATAGCAAAACTTGTTTAACCATTCATCTGCTGATGGACATTTGGGTTATGCCTAGTTTGGTGCTGTTACAAATAAAACAACTAAATGTTTTTGTAGAAATCTTTGTATGGACATATGCCTTCTCTTCTCTTGGGTAAATACCTAGAAGTAGAATGGCTGAATCACATGCTAGGTGAGTGTTTAACTTTTTACAAAATTGCCAAACTGTTTTTTTTCTTTATTGTGGTAAAATACATATAACATAAAATTTACCACCTTAACCATTCTTAAGTGTATAGTTACTTGTATTAAGTACATTCACATTGTTGTGCAAAAAATCTCCAGAATTCTTTTCATCTTACAAAACTGAAACTCTATACCCATTAAATAACTCCCCATCTCTCCTTTCTCCAGGCCCTGGCAACCACCATTTTGTTTTCTGTCTCTATGAATTTGACTTTTCTAGGTACCTCATACAAATGAGATCATACAGTTTGTCTTTTTATGATTGGCTTATTTCACTTAGCAATATATCCTCAAAGTTTATCAATGCTGTAGAATGTGTAAGAATTTGCTTCTTTTTAAGGCTGAATAATATTCCAATTGTATATATATACCACATTTTGTTTATCCATTCATCAGTTCATGGTTGGGTTTATTCCACATTTTAGTGATTGTGAATAATACTGCTATGAATGTGGGTGTACAAATAATCTCTTCGAAACCCCACTTTCAATCCACTTGTGTATATATCCAGAAGTACAATTGCTGGATCATATGTAATTCTATTTTTAGTTTCTTGAGGAACCATCATACTGTTCTCCATAGTGGTCACACCATTTTACATTCCCACCAGCAATGCACAAGGATTAGAATCTCTCCACATCCTTGCCAACACATGTTCTTTTTTCTTTTTTTGATAGTAGCCATTCTAATGGGTGTGAGGTAGTATCTCATTGTGGCTTTGATTTGCATGTTCCTAATGATTAGTGATGTCGAGCATCTTTTCACGTGTTTGTTGACCATTTGTATATTTGCATATCTTCTTTGGAGAAAAGTCTACTCAAGTCCTTTGCCCATTTTTCAATTGGGTTGTTTGGGGTTTTTTGTTGTTGAGTTGTAGGAGTTTCTTAAATGTATTCTGGATATTAACCCCTTATCAGATATGTGATTTTCAAATATTTTCTCTCATTCCACAGGGTGCCTTTTCACTGTTAATTGTGTCCTTTGATACATGTAAGTTTCTTATTTTGATGAAGTTTAACTTATCTATTTTTCCTCTTGTTGCCTGTGCTTTTGGTGTCGTATCCAAGAAACCACTGCCAGATGCAATGTCATGAAGGTTTTCCTCTATGTTTTATTCTATGAGTCTTACAGTTTTAGCTTTTATATTTACATCTTTGATCCACTTGAGAGAACTCTGTACATGGTGTAAGGTAAAGGTCCAACTTTATTCTTTTGCATGTGCATATCCAGTTTTCCCAGCACCACTTGTGGAAGAGACTGTCCTTTCCCCCACTGAATGGTGTTGGAACCCTTGTCAAAGATGCTTTGACCATAATGTGAGAATTTATTTCTGGACTCTATTTCAAAGGTCTATATGTCTATCTGTCTATGCCAGTACCACAATGATTTGATTACCGTAGCTCTGTAATAAGTTTTGAAATCAGGAAATGATTTCCAACTTTGTTCTTTTTCAAGAATGTTTAACTATTCAGGATTCCTTGAAATTCCACATGAATGGATTTTTCTATTTCTGCAAAAAATACTATTGGGATTTGGAAGGGATTGCATTAAATAAAACCGCCAAATTGTTTTCCAAAGTGGTTATACCATTATACATTCCACCAGCAGTGTACAAAAATTCCAGTTATTCCACATCCTTGTCAATAGTTAGCACAGTCACTCTTTCATTTTAGCCATTCTAGTAGATGTGTAATGGTATCTTGTGCCTTTAATTTGTATTTCCCTAACGACTTATGATGTTGAGCATTTTCTCATGTGTTTATTTGCCATCCATGTATCTTCTTTGGTGAGGTACCTGTTCAAATCTTTTGCCTATTTTTCAATTGAGTTGTTTGTTTTCTTGTTATAGAGTTCTAAGAGCTCTTTATATATTCTGGATACATGTTCTTGATCTGAATATATGTTTTGCAAATCTTTCAGTCTGTGGTTTGTATTTTTATTCTCTTAGCACTGTCTTTTGAAGAGTAGAAGGTTTTAATTTTGATGAAGTCCAATTTATCAATATCTTCATTAAGGATGGTGCTTTTAGTGTCATATTTAAGAAACTGTTGCCAAATTCCAGGTCACAAAGATTTTCTCCTGTTTTCTTCTACAAATTTTATAGTTTTAGGTTTAATTCTTACTTTTCATTCATTCCTCTGTGTTCAATGTTTTTCTTAAAGTAATTTTTGGGTAGTTCCTTTAAGCACAGTCTGGGAAAAGCAAACTCCTTCATCAGGAAACACCTTTATTGTGCCATCACTCACAGTGTACCTAGCTAGCTAAACTCAGTTTAGCCAAGGTGACTTACAGGCATCTCTCAGCACTATGCATATATATTCTGTTGGCTTCTGGCTTCCATAGCTGCTATGAAGAACTTTTTTGGATAATCTAACTGTAATTCTTTTATATATTTTTTTTTCCTAAATTCTTTTGAAATAATACTCTTTCATTTGTTATGTCTAATAGTATGGATTCAAATTTACTTATCTAACTCAGTGCTTGTGTTTCCAAATCTTTAGTTTCATATGTCTTTTATAAGTGTTAGCCATCATTTCTTTGAATTTTGCTCTACTCCTTTATTTCTAGTCTTACTTTCTGGAACTCTTTGAGACATATAATAAAATTGTTCACTCCATCCTTCATACCTCTTAACCTCTTATATTTTCTGAAACTCTCTTTCCTTGCTTTCCAGAGTTCACTAATGCTCCCTTTATTCAGTTGGGTTTAATCTACTTTTTATATAATCCATCGAGTTTTGCAAAGTAAATAAAATATTTTAATTTTTATACAGCTTTTTAACACGGCTCTGTAATAGGCTGTAAGTAGCTTGACATTGAGATTTTATTTAAAGTTTTACCTTGATACTTTCTCAAATCAGCATCAATATGCTCAATAGTTTTTTCCCTAGTGACAACTGCTTCTTCTGAACTTTCTATTGTATCTTTATTCTATGTTGTTTGAATTTTTCCAAAGCTATTATGAAAAATTTCAAACATACAGAACATTTGGAGGAATGGTACAATTAACATCCAAATTCTCTCTACTTAGGTTCTAAAATTATTATTTTTTCATATTTGTTTTTTCTCTCTACATTTTGTTTTCCATCATACCATTTGAAAATAACTTACAACTTGATTGATTGAGATGAAAGTCAGAATAGTGGTTACTCTTGAGGGAGGGTACTGAATTGGAGAGGGCACAGGAGAATCCTCTCAAACACTAGAAATGTTTTATATCTTGATCTGCATGGCAGTTACATTTGCAGAAAGTCACTGAGCTGTACACTTGAGATTTGTACATTTTACTATTGTATGCATTATATTTCCAAAAAAGAGGGGCAAAAGTTAAAGGCATCATGACAATTTACCCCTAAATACTTAAGCATGTATTTCCTAAGAATAAAAACATTCTCCTACATGATTATTTTCATATTTAAGGAAATTAATAATTGCATAACATCTAATATTTCATCAACATTCCAAATTTTCCAAGTCTCAAGAATGTCTTTTATAGGTCTTCCCCATCTTAGTCCCAAACCAGGATCACATACTGCATTTGGCTGTTATATCTCTTTAGTCTTGATTAGTGTAGAATAATCCTCAACCTTTTTTATCTACCATGATACTAATCCAGGCCATTTGTCTTGTAAGATGTCCACATTTTGAATTTGTCTAATTGTTTCCTCATGGTGTTTAACTTTTTCCTCTATCCTCGTCATTTCTTATAAAATGGAAGGTCCAGGAGCTTGATATTCACTGCAATCATTTTTAGCAAGAATACTTCACAGATGGGGCTGGCCCCGTGGCCGAGTGGTTAAGTTCGCACGCTCCGCTGCAGGCGGCCCAGTGTTTCGTTGGTTCGAATCCTGGGCGTGGACATGGCACTGCTCATCAGACCACGCTGAGGCAGCGTCCCACATGCCACAACTAGAAGAACCCACAACGAAGGATACACAACTATGTACCGGGGGGCGTTGGGGAGAAAAAGGAAAAAATAAAATCTTTAAAAAAAAAAAAGAATACTTCACAGATGATAATTGTCATCTACTAAGTTTTAAATTTTAAGACCACATGGAAGTTCTACTTGGTTCTCTTTTAGGAATCTAATCTTGCTGTTTTTAAGTCTTCTAACTCACTGATGGTAGACTGTTTCCTTGTATATCTTTCCTTGTATAGCTTATAACGTGGGATTTTGAGCTTGTCAGTGGGACACTCTGTGAATTCCATGAGACCTAGATGAGCCAAGGGAGGGTTTGCATGTGCTTCTGCCCAGTGCCTGGGTGCTATTAGCACTCCATGACCAATAGTTATGTTAATTTCTTGGGTTGAGGGTTCCTGGGCAATGCAGGCAGTACAAATATGAACCCTAAACTATGATGAGAATAGGTGTATAGTTAAGAGTTCACAGGGGAAACTTTAACCTGTATCTGGAGCCCAGGCAAAGACAGACAAGTTTCTTTGTTATTTATGTATGTTGGTGAATAGATTTTCTCTTAGTTCACACTTTCACTAAAGGTAAACTGTTCAAAGGCTCAGCTTATGTGAAGATCTGAGTTCCAACCATCTTTGTGACACTTGCCGGAGGCCTAGTCTTGTGTCCCCACACACTGACACTCACATGCTTCTGTTGCAGAGTAACAAACTGACCCCACTGGAGGCCACTATAGCACAGATGAGCAAAATTTTTCCATGAAGAACCACCATTACTACTAATGCTGTCTGAGGAAAAAATTAAAAACTACTTTGACTTCAGTTGTATTTGGAAATGAAATGGGTTTTTATTCATATCAAAAGCAATCATATACATTATAAAAAGTAGTGATGTATAGAGGTGCATTATTTTAAATCTACTGATAGTACTTGTCGCACTTGAGGATTGATTATAAACCCTCCATAATATTTCTGCTAATTCCCTTACTTTGAACGTTACTTACAGAGGACTCCTGTTCCAATGGTGATACTAATAATTAATAATCAAAAGTTATATAGACAAGAGGAAAAATATCAACCACACTGAAAATCCAACATTTGATAAGCAATCTGAATAGAGATTTCTCAAGAGTGAAGAATGAATTTTACCTGATATATGTTAGACAACAAACAAGCTCAAGTCTTGAAATTCTGACTGATTCTGAACTAGTACTTGGATTTGAGTGTGGTTCAAGTTTGGTAAATAGGTTTAAACGTCAAATCCGACACTGAGGACAATACAATTTGTTACAGTTAAGGAACACAGACTTTGGCACCAAATATTTACATCTTTTCCATTCTCATTTGAAATGGATGCTTCCATTTCTATGACCACTGAGTATGAAGTGATAATATATTTCATTTTGAACAACTGGTCTTTCTGAAAAATACAAAGAAAAAGCAATGATGACATTAAAAGTTGACTCACCACTGTCCTCTGTTTGTTGGGCAGGAAGACTCTAACGATAGGTTTTTGTGGTGACTTAGGGTTGCTCCGTGACACATCTGTGGGATTTTGAAAAACTGAAAGAGATGAAGGTAGCACTGAAAGGCTAGAAGAGGAAGAAGATGTAACGGTGTCCGTTGATGCAGAACTAGAAACAGAAAAATCAGTTCCATTCCCCAGGGATTCCAATAACTGTTGTTCTCTTTGTTGGAGGGCATCTAGCTTGCTGGTGTATTCTTCATAGGCCTATAAAATAAAGTAGACTTACATTGAATCTGGACTTTTTCCTTACAGTAATAAAAGGAAATAGGAAATTTAAGTCTTTGATTATAACCTCCTTATAATCTAGCTAACAGGGTTTTAAGTTACAAGTTACAAATAAGTGCTGAAGTACTGTAAAGAAATACATTTACCTTTAAATTGATAAATCTTTTGTTATAAGACACTACATTACATGGAGAAACTGACACATATATATGTGATGAATAGAATATATATGAATATTAATATACATAGTATTTGCAATTTTCTGGTCAAATCACAATTTGCCTTCCAAACCAGACCTAACATAAGATAAAACATCACACTACTTCAATGATAAGTAGCCCCTCCATTAAAAAATTTTTTTCCATAAAAGTTATAGGCATATAAAGTTTCATACCACACATATATACACACACTCTCCCTCCCTCTCTCTCTCTCTCAAAGAAGAAAGAAAAATTGAAAAGGAGATGAAGTGATAGATTTGTCAAAAAAGAGGACTTAGGTACACAGTGCCAGATCTCACCATTACCATCAAAACCTCCTCAATAGGGCTTGGAGACATATAACTGCCACCTTCTTTCTGAAATAACTATCAGGTAAAATAATTTATTTTTCTCACTATGAATATCTGATGACCTCCTTCCCCATCAAATACTTCTTAGAGAATGGAAATTTATTTGAAAAGGTGGCTTACACACTGCAGTAAAGAAATTCTGGGGCCATTATCCATCATGGTATCTTTCTACAAGTTTCATTTGACTAAAGCTATAAAGTCAAATGACCACATAAGATACCATATTCTAAAAGAAGATTCTTGAAAACAGAATGAAATTGAAAGTAAAGAGATGGAATGAATTGGAATATATATGTTTATGGTTCTTTTCTTTTTAAAGATTGCCACCTAAGCTAACCACTGTTGCCAATCTTCTTTTTTTTTTTTTTCCTGCTTTTTCTCTCCAAATCCCCCCAGTACATAGCTGTATACTTTAGTTCTGGGTCCTTCTAGTTGTGGCATGTGGGACGCCACCTCAACATGGCCTGATGAGCGGTGCCATGTCCGCGCCCAGGATCCAAACAGGCAAAACCCTGGGCCGCCAAAGTGGAGCACGTGAACTTAACCACTCGGCCACGGGGCTGGCCCCGTCCATGGTTGTTTAAGGTAGTGGTAACCACCTTCCCCCAACCATAGTCCACCATTTCTCCCTATCACCCCAAAGAGATGCAATACTACAAACATTCATGGAAGGTTACAACGGAGAATCATAGATTTTAAAATGGCATTTCTCATCTCTCAAGGATTTTACTATTGGGCTGAAGAGAAGCAGAAAGACGTATTTTTATTTGTGTAAGTGCTGTACATGAGAAATAAAGAACCTTCTTGATAGAAGGTGAGATGAGGAAGCAAGGGGCCTTAAAAGATTAGCATTTAGATGGATGGAGTGAGTGGGGAGAAGAGAGTACTGTGCACAGGAGAAATTCTTTGAAAAAGTAAGGAGATAAGACATTTTAAGACAAGAAAAACTATAGACTAGTATAGCTGAATGTCTGGGACATAGTAAGGGATCAACATATATCTGTGGAATTCAAATGAAGAATAGGAACACAGGGAAACAATACGACTGGAAAAATGAGTAAGGGATCAAATTGTAGAGAGGATATATATACCATGCTATGAAACCTGAACTTCATTCTACAAGCAAGGAGAATTATCAAAGGTAGAAGAGAATGAAGGAGAAATTCCAGTTCAACAAGGGCCACTGTACCTGGTATGCTAGATCTTACCATATAATTTTGACAAAAAAGGGAAAATACTAAAATGAGCTACTCAGGTAAACAGCCTAAACTACACAAAAATGCCCTCTTCTTCTTTACAACCTACTCATTGTCCTACACTGACCCTGAATTGTTTCATAGCATTTCAGGGCATTATAACCACACCAATTCAAAATTTTCTGAGCTGTATTTCTATTTAGCTTTCACTTCCAAGGGCTAATTACTTAAGAGCATCTCTTTCAATATGATCCACTTACTGAACCTTTAATCATTTAATAAATATATATTGAGCATACATGTGCCAGGTACTGTTTGGGGCTCACACTGCAAAAATAGACTGACACCATTTCTACACTTTCAAGATTATACAGACACAGTTTGGGAAAAAAAAGTTCCTCTTTGCATAAATTAAATCTTCTTATACTGTCATCTTGGCAGTACATTTACTGCACAAGGTTAGCCTTAGAAAAAGTAATAAATTTTCTGAATGTTATCTCTTTATGAAAATGTTAGCCTTAATTTTTGAAAATATACTATCCCCTCCCTTGTAGATTACGGACTATTACTTCATTGCATTTATCAATAGCTCTTCCTTAAATACAAAACATTTACATGCTTATTCCACCTCTCTCCATCCTCACAGTTGCAATCTACCAAGGAACTTGCCTACCTTGTTTTGTAAGTGGCTTGGCTCATTTCACCCCATTATCCTGGCTGCATTCAGTGTGGATGCTGACTACTCTTTTAACACTCCTGCCTTAAAGTTCTTTAAACCTCTTATCTCTAAAGGCATTTATTTCCACTTTACCTTTCAGATCCAGAGAACACTACAGTTCTTTACAAAAGAGTTCCAAAGGAGGGCTAGATCTCAATTTGGAACCTCCCATGCCCCACTACACACACATTTACCCCACCTTCTTAAATTTCCATCTAACTAACATATTAACCTGTTCATGGTCAACATTCATCCCTTCAGGTTTCTCAGATTTGGGTCTTTGTTGTCTTACTTCCCATACTTTGTGGCTCACCATTTCAACAATGCCACTGGTAACATCTTAGTTTCCCTGCTGATACTTATTCTCTTACTAATTTGCCTGTCAAATACCAATTTGGGGTAAATCCTACCACTCGATTCTTTCTCTTAGGTTACCACACATTGCTGGAGAAAATAATAAAACTAGGCCAATTAGTTCCACTATCAATTCATGGAATTTAGTCTTTCACACTACTGCGTGGAAAATTTTACCTATTTTTAACATCACATTACATTCCTCACAATACTTATTCCAACCCTTTCTATGCTTCTCTGGCTCCTAACTTTATCCCCTAAAATTTAATTCACTGAGAAAATGGCATTACCTTCAAATTTACTCTGAAGATCAAAGCCATCATATAAAAGCTTCCTCTTCTTTGTCTAAGCAATTCTCCACCTCTTTCCCCATCCCTCTTCTGCTCTCAATTTAGCACCAGCACTGGGTGTTTAGGGCCTCTTCCACGGTGGCCTTGGCACACTGATATCTCCATTTTCTCTTATATCTTCCAACTTTCCTTTTCCTCTGTTTTCTTACCCTACAAATATGAGCAAGTCCTCTCACATAAATGCACAGTTCAACCACCACCACCACCACCAACAACAAAATTCCTTAGGTTTTTCAAGATGTTGCAGATAGCAGATATTTTTCCAGAAGGCAGCTTTCCAAAACCCCATACCTTCTCATGAAAAGCCTACCTATTTTTCAAAGTCTAATTCAAAGTTCACCTTTATAAAATCCAAAAGAGGTATTCTTTCTCTTCACCTCCTTTAGAGTATTATCACTCTCTTCCTTATATGGCAATTTTTTCCTCATTTGTGCAACAATTTTGTAAGGATTAAATGAGATAATACAGATAAAAGAAATTGTATTGCAGAGACTACCAACAAATATTTTTATTATAGTAATAAGTTGTACTAGTAATTTTCGTTGTAGTTATTGCTGTTACTACTTACTACTTAGCTGAGTTCTTGTCATGACTCTACTAAACTATAAGCTAGTTGAGGGTACAGAGCATGTCATTTATTTTTTAACTCAAAAAAAAAGAATCTAAGAACACTTAATATTACTAAGATGACAATACTCCCTAAATTGATCTGCAGATTCAATGTAATCTTTATCAAAATCCCAGTTGGTTTTTTTGTGTGTGTGTGTGTGTGTAAGATTGTCTCTGTGCTAACACCTATTGCCAATCTTCTTTTTGCTTGAGGAAGATTGGCCCTGAGCTAATATCTGTGCCAATCTTCCTCTATTTTCTCTGTAGGACACCACCACAGCATGGCTTGAAGAGCGGTATGTAGGTCTGTGCCTAGAATCTGAAACTGCAAACCCCAGGCCACGAAAGTGGAGCATGCGAACTTAACCACTATGCTACCAGGGCAACCTCCCATTTGGTTTTTTGCAGAAATACACAAGGTGATCTTAAAATTCATACGGAAGTGCAAAGGACACAGAATAACTAAAACAATCTTGAAAAAGACAAAGTTGAAGAATTTACATTTCCAGATTTCAAAAGTTACTACAAAGCTACAGTAATTGAAACAGGTGGTATTGGAATAAGGATTCACATACAGAACAACAGAATAGAATTGAGAGCCCACAAATAAAGCCTTACATTTATGGTCAACTGATTTTCAACAACGGTGTCAAGATAATTCAAGAAGTAAAGAAGAGTCTTTTCAACAAATGGTGCTGGTATAAATGAATATCTACACGTAGAAGAATAAAGTTGGACTAATACCTGACATCACATTCAAAAATTAACTCAAAATGGGGGCTGGCCCCGTGGCCGAGTGGTTAAGTTTGCGCGCTCCGCTGCAGGCGGCCCAGTGTTTCGTCGGTTCGAATCCTGGGTGCGGACATGGCACTGCTCGTCAGACCACGCTGAGGGAGCGTCCCACATGCCACAACTAGAGGAACCCACAACGAAGAATACACAACTATTTACCGGGGGGCTTTGGGGAGAAAAAGGAAAAAATAAAATGTTTAAAAAAAAAAAAATTAACTCAAAATGAATCACACACCTAAAAGTAAGAGCTAAAATCACAAAAGTCTTAGAAGAAAACATAGGAATAAACCATCATGACCCTGGATTAAGCAATGGTTTCTTAGATACAACACACTAAAAACACAGCAACTGCAGAAAAAATAGATAAAACGGACTTCATCAAAATTAAA